TATTTGATAGAGTTGTTCCATTTGTTCGGAATTGAATGCCCCGCTTGAAGTAGGAATTCTTGTTTCAGCTTGGTATCCTCGGCTCCTATTATTTTGCCTTAGCTTCCAGTCGGTAGGTTTTCCATGAATTTCCCAACATGTGTCTTCTTTGTGCCCCGGCTTGCGACAATGCTTACACCATGGTCGTCCCCGTTGTTTTTGGATCGACCCATTGGCAGCCCCTTTTGAGAAAAGGCCCAAAGCTCCATTTCCACTTGAAAGTCCATTACCTGGAGGCCCATTATTTTCCGGCCCACTGTTTTTTTAAAAATTCACTCCAGGCCCAATATTCGGTAGCCCATTTATCTTAACAGTTGGAGACCCATTCCCTTTGACATTTAGGGCCGACATCTCTGGAGGAGCTCCATTCCCGTCCTTCATCATCACCGATCGGCGAGCTTCCTCCTGATGAACCTCGGCGAACACTTTGCGCGTCAGTGGTAACGGTCGCCGGCCTAAGATTCTTCCTCTAACATTGTCCAGCTCTCATTTTAGGCCTGCAAGGAACTCGAACACCCTTTCATTCTCCACCTTTTTTCTATACAGTGTGCAGTCATCTGCACACTTCCATTCCTCTTCGACGCTAAAGTCTAATTCCTGCCAAAGATTCACCATTTCCATGTAATAATCGGTCACATCTCTCGAGCCTTGCCGAGTCTGCCACAGTCGGGATTTGATTTCAAATATGTGCGACGAGTCTTCCACATCGGAGTAAGTTTCCTTCACTGCATCCCAGACGTCCTTTCCTGTTGGGAGAAAGAGGTATGTCTTTCTGATGGTCGGTTTCATTGAATTTACCAACCAAGCCGTCACCATGGAGTTTTCTGATTTCCACTTCTGCAGCATGACGGTGTCGGTCGGTTTCTTGGTTTCGTCGGTAAGATACCCCAATTTTCCTTTTCCATCTATTACTAATTTTATGGATTAGGCCCACTCTCGGTAGTTAGTTCCATTCAATTTTTCCACCATGAGTTGGAAGGTGGAGTTCTCTACTCTAATTGAACCAATTGGGGGGCTGACTTCTGTTTCGAATTCTGAAGTGGCAGAGGTCGTCGACTCGGCCATTGTTTTGCTAGGTTAGAGGAACCTGCACTCTGATACCATGAAAACGGAATTGGAATATTGAAATTTTATTCCACCATTCTACAAAACACAACCCTATACCTCCTATTTATACTATACAATACAAATTGGAAAAGGAAACTATAATCACCTAAGTAAGGAAATAAATCAACCTACCAATTAACCAAAAATAACAATCTAAATAAATTACAATTTCCATATTATATGACTTTCTACAACAACTTACATGGGTAACCTTAAGGTTATGATTGCTGAAGGGTCACTCACTTGTCGCAGGAAAGGGGATATTCAAATCTTTGACTTCATAACTTTAAAATCTGTCTTTCATGTTCTTAATTTATCCTGTAAGCTAACTTACAAAAGCTTCGAATTGGACTACTAAATTCCTTCCTTTTATTATATTTTTCATGACCTATCATTCGGAAGAAGATTGACAATGCTAAAGAGTGTGGAGGACCTTACTACTTGGACGAGGTCAATATGAGTAAGCAACATTGAATTGCCATTTGTGATTCTACATTTGTTTCTGGTAATGCTAAAGAGTGTGGAGGACCTTACTACTTGGACGAGGTCAATATGAGTAAGCAACATTGAATTGCCATTTGTGATTCTACATTTGTTTCGGGTAATAGCAAAATCTTGTTATGGCATTTTAGATGGGACATCCCAATTTTCAGTATTTGAAACATATATTCTCTACTATTTTTGGAGATAAAGAGTTAGTCAATTTTCATTGTGAATTTTGACAAACATAAACGAACGCCATTTTCAAAATCCACATATAAACCATCGAAAGCATTCATTATGATCCATAGTGACATTTGGGGTCCCTCACGCATTCCTAATCGAACTCACACAAATTGGTTCGTCACAATTTTTGATGCCACACTCAAATTTGTTGGGTGTATCTCTTAAAAGAAAAATCTGATGTACAATTCGTGTTTATCAATTTCAACTCTATGATACAAACTCAATTTCAAATACACATTCAAATTCTATGCACTAATAATGACAGAATACTTCAAGAAACATTTGGGAGGTTTTCTACGAACTCATGGGATAGTTCACCAGAATTCTTGTATTGAAACTCCTTAACAAAACGGGATTGTTGAACGAAAAAATAAACATCTCCTAAAAGTTGCTAGAGCTTTAATGTTTACTACAAATATGCTAAAAGAATTATGGGATGATGCTATCTTAACATCCAAGTACTAATCAATCGAATTCCTAACCGTACCTTAAACTTCAGAATTCTTGTATTGAAACTCCTTAACAAAACGGGATTGTTGAACGAAAAAATAAACATCTCCTAAAAGTTGCTAGAGCTTTAATGTTTACTACAAATATGCTAAAAGAATTATGGGATGATGCTATCTTAACATCCAAGTACTAATCAATCGAATTCCTAACCGTACCTTAAACTTCAAATCATCTCTCCAAAGATTTCAAACATTCTTTCCGACCTCTCAACTCAACTTGAACCTACCCTTCAAAGTGTTTGGGTGTAACGCTTTTGTCCATATTCACAGCAGACACTGAAATAAACTAGAACCTCAAGCTATTAAATGTGTCTTTCTCTTATACTCTCCTAATCAGAAGTGATACAAATGATATGATCATTCTACAAAGAGGGTCATTGTCAGTATTGACGTCACATTCTTTGAAAATACCTCGGATTTCCACAAACCTCTCCTCAGGGAGAGAATTTAAGTGAAGATCGGTACCTAAACTTAAATCTTCTCCTAGACTCTATGCCTATCCCACCGTCTAGTCCCTCTATGCCATTTGTTGGAGACAACTTAAATCTAGTGGAGATGCAGAAAAATAAGGTGGCAAGGAAATATGTGTTTACTCAAGAAAACCAAAAAAAGTATAAGAAGAACCTTACACCCGAAGTACCAAAAAGAATCAAAACTAATGATAGCTCCAGAATCTCATGATACCACATATATACCTAAATCATCAAACGTTAACCGACCTATCGCACTCAGAAAAAACTCGATCATAAACTCTCTATCCTATCTCAAAGTTCAAGTCATATAATGTTCTATCTACAGGATTTCATAGTTTCATCTCTCACCTTGATAGTACCAAAATTCCAAGGGATATTCAGGAAGCTTTGGAAACTCCAAAATGGAAAGAAGCAGTAATAGAGGAAATGCGAGCGTTAGAAAAAAATGATACTTGGGACGTAATGGATCGACTGAGAGGAAAAAGACCAGTTGGATGCAAATGGGCCTTCAACTTAAAATATAAAGTGGATAGGACTATAGAATGGTATAAAGCTTGGCTAGTTGCAAAATAATACATTCCGACCTATGGCATTGACTACACAGCAATATTTGCACTTATGGCAAAATTAAATACAGTCTGAGTACTATTGTTATTAGCAGCAAACTTGGATTAGGCCTTCCAACAACTGTACATTAAAAATGCATTTCTAAATGGAGAAGTGGAGAAAAAAATTTACATGATAATACTACCAAGTTTTTTGCAAGGTAAAAAAGGAATTGAGAATGCAAGTTCAAGAAGTCCTTGTATGGGTTAAATCAGTCACCTAGAGCATGGTTTGACAAATTTGCAAATGTAATGAAGAGACTAGGATACTGGCAATCGGATCGCACTATATCCCTCCAACAGTTTGATGATGGGACTATAACAATCTTCATTGTGTATGTTGATGACATAATCTTGACAAGAGATAACATAGTGGAAACAGATAAGCTTAAGGAGAATCTAGCTACTGAATTCGAAGTAAAAGAATTGAAACAAATATGATACTTCTTAGAAATTGAAGTAGCCAGTTCAAAAAGGGGTATTAGCTTTTTGTAGAGAAAGTTTGTTCTTAATCTCCTTATCGAAACAGGAATGCTTTGATGCAAACCAAGTTATACACCAATTGATATGGGGAATAAAATCGAGAATACCTACAGTGCAGTAGACATAGACATATATCAATGACTAGTAAGTAAACTAATCTACTTGCCACACACTAGACTTGACATTGCATTTGCAATTAGCATGGTGAGCCAACATGTGCACTCTCCGAAGGAAGGCCACCTAGAAGCCGTCTAAAAGATACTGAGATACCTCAAGGATTCTTCAAGAAAATGATTATTCTTCAAAAAGGATGAGAGGAAAGATGTAGAAGTCTTCACATATGCAAATTAGGCAATTCCACGGAAGATAGAAGATCAACTATCGGATATCGCACTTTTGCATGGGGAAATCTAGTAACATGATAGTGCTGAAGTAGAGTTTAGAACAGTAGCACAAGGAATATGTAACGGATTGTGGTTGAAGAAACTCCTAGAAGAGCTACATGTTACAATAAAATTCCAATTAAACTGTTTAGTGATAATAAAGTTGCTATCAACATCTCTCAACCTAATCTAACATGATTGAACTAAACATGTAGAAGTGAACAGACATTTCAGCAAAGAGAAGGTGGAAGAAGGGACTATTTGCATGACATATGTTCCCACATAGAAGCAAAATGCCGACATTTTTACCAAAGGGCTATCTCGATTAGACTTCGATAATTTCAGTCACAAGTTAGATATGATCAATATTTACAATCCAACTTGAGGGAGAGTGTTGAAATCCCGGTTATGTGGCAATATGCCACCTTCCCAAATTAGCATTAGCAAATTAGGAAAGTTATAATTATTGCAATTAGGAAAGATTTCTTAGGAGATTCTTGCATTGATTTAGGAATATTGTTTTTTTTCTTTTTTAACCTCTTTTGTATACTGTAAAAGGATGTAATTATGGTGTAATTATTCATTGAAAAAAAGGAGAATATCCTTACAATTCACATGAAGTAACTTTTCCTATGATTTTATTAGTCAGATAGTATTTTTGTTGTCTCTATTTAGCAGTTAACAATGACGCTGAAGAAAGGGAGAAAGGTCCACGATATACAAATGATAATTCAGGAGATGCCAGCATTGAGAGCATGCTTTTAGTGGAGCAAGGTCTTAGGGAACTGACGTCGCTCAAGGTTCTATTCCAAATTGGTGCATTTACTATAAAATTCATTTATAATGGAGAGATAAAATTTTCCATTATTCTTCAAGGAGTAAGGTAGACTAAAACTTAAGACATTATCATCCCTTTTTTTTTGCTTCATTAGCATTATATTCGGTAAAGGAAATTTACATACTGTAAGATCAAATTTGTCATATATATCAGTTGCATTATCTGTCGGGAGATTGCACTATTTGTCACTTCAATGTTGTCTTCATCCATGTTGCATCTAGAACTCTCTTCCACTATGGGATGCCATTCTCTTGAAATCAATATCGGAACTCAGTTTTATCCTTCTATAGATGCTTGATCTGTTGTATGCAATGTTCCAAACATGAAACATGACCTTTTCTCATTTTTATTCACCTTTTCGTTTTAAAGGTAGAGGAGGCAGTTGCCATATCAATGGCCCAACAGCGACGCCCAAGTGCAATAAAATCTAATGGTATGAAATGGAAATGTTCATTCACTGAATTCTTCTTGCCTACTGGGAAAGTTAGTAACATGTGTCACCTACATTACCTAAGAACTGCTCTTTTTAGTCGACAATAGACCATTATGTTTTTGGTTATGCATCTCGATTTTTTGGGATTGCAATGAAGTGAAGTGGCAGTAGTTTATTAAGCATTGCAATGTATGTTTCTAATGTCTGGGAGCACTTGAAGAATTATATGATATACGACTAGAAGGACTTGTCTGCACTGCAGCGATAACTAAGGTATTGGATGCTTTTAAGCAGCGCCACATGCAGAGACGGTATAATAATAGTCTGTGATATCATTACTTGACCACTTGTTCCCATCCCAAAACATACATAAGAAACATTAACCTACAGATAATCAAGCCTATCATTTAGAATTCTACGTAAACCTTCTCCTATCATTGAAGTAACAATTGTCTCTCTTATAATCTATAATGTTGCAGATGAAATATTCATTAATTGTATGAGATGTTGATGACACGAAGAAATATCAAACTCAAAAATTGCTGTTACAATGAAATATTCATAACTTAGAAGTATATAAATTTTATCTGTATTGATCTAACCTTCCACTGATTTGCTAATATTTAGAAAGAGCAAAGAGAATTACCTTCTTGGGAAGATGGACAAGGAGACTTCTAGTGCAGTTTGTAAGATTGAACAAAAAATTATTCAATTATTGCTTAATGTATAGTTTAAATGATTTTAAGTAGTGGTGTGAAAAGAAATGTAACCCTAGAGATACACTCATGTACATACAAGGAAGTTCTTCGAACACTTTACGAATAATTAAGTGATTGTTTGTGCCCCATTATTTGTGAGTAATATATTATGGAATAGTGATTGATGTTTTGTATGAGATGTTGATGACACGAAGAAATATCAAACTCAAAAATTGCTGTTACAATGAAATATTCATAACTTAGAAGTATATAAATTTTATCTGTATTGATCTAACCTTCCACTGATTTGCTAATATTTAGAAAGAGCAAAGAGAATTACCTTCTTGGGAAGATGGACAAGGAGACTTCTAGTGCAGTTTGTAAGATTGAACAAAAAATTATTCAATTATTGCTTAATGTATAGTTTAAATGATTTTAAGTAGTGGTGTGAAAAGAAATGTAACCCTAGAGATACACTCATGTACATACAAGGAAGTTCTTCGAACACTTTACGAATAATTAAGTGATTGTTTGTGCCCCATTATTTGTGAGTAATATATTATGGAATAGTGATTGATGTTGAAATTGTGGTTAAAAAAGAAAGAAAAGTTTTTTATTTACACGTAATAATATTTTAATAAAGAATGTGTGATTGAAAATGAGTACTGTAAAAAAAATAATGTGGTAGAATTTGGAAGAATGGGGCACAAACAAAGCCTAAAGTATAAAAATATTAGCTCAGAGAATCAGAACGAATTAGTTCTCATAAATCTTGTTTTAGTTATAGTAGATTATTAATTTTTACATATTTACTAAAAGAGGGCCACCTCTATTACTCAACTTACCAATCTGATCTTTTGTGATTCCAATTCTTTCTATGGCTGTAGATGAATTGAAGCTACCAATTGAAGGGCAGGATTTTTCAGAAGCATTTGGTAAGTTTATCTTACATTGAGACAGACTATTATTATCACACACTTTTTTTTTTTTTTTCTCTTTTTAAAAAATGAGTTGCCAGATACAATGAGACCATTCTAAATGAAGCTGTTTCTTGTCGTTTAATAGACTACTATCTTATTTCTTCTGTGACTTCTTTTTTCCGGTTTTCTCAGGAACCCTAAACGTGTAACTTTATCAGATTACTTGAACACAAAATCTGGTGTCTACCCTTATCAGCTTTGAAGTTTCAGATTCAATATTTTGACCATTGACACCTTTTCTAACAAGATATATAACGCCAGTCTCCATTGGCCTCCGTCCCAGCAGTATCATTCCCTTGACTGTTCAATGAGCTTTAAGAAACTAGTTTAGTGCTCTGCCACCAATATATTTTCTGTATCTTTGTTTATAATTTTTTTGGATAATTGAAAAGTTCTAAAATTTTACATATCTTGGACGAAGGGGTGGTTTTTCATTGCGTCTTGCTAAGTATATTGTAGTTTTGATGCCAAATTATAAACAGAAAGCATACTTGTTTCAGAGTTGAGCAAAGAGGAGGCTGAAGATGTTTTCATCAAGCGGGTATGTTGGCAACTAGAACTATAGATTTCTTATCTTGGAGGGATGTTTAAAGAGCTGTGTATCCTACGTCTAGTAGTATTTTCTGTGTTTTCTATTCAGTGTTCTCTTTGGTTGCTTTGGCTCGGTGCGATGATTGTGAGATCCATTCAGCGTTCCATTTAATGCTTAACGTTCTTATATTTTACCTGATTCTTCTACAAGGAAAATTAGTAGAAGTCCTTGAAATCAACCAGTAAATCCTAATATCCTATGCAGAATGATAACTTTCAAAGAGCATAAGTGAGATCACACGGTTCATGTTGAATCGTCCGAAATTATCCTTATTATTGTACAATGAATATTATTTCGAAAACTTGGAACGTAGTCAATCACCTTGAATCTATTCTTAAACCTTTTTCACTCATTATCTATGAATCTATTGTACTATAAATGTATTTTGGTAGGTTTGATGAAATTTTAATATTGATTACTACTTTACCTAGTTGAATAAATATAAAATGATCAATGGTTAAGATAGTAAAAATAACATGCCGAATAATGCTATACTTTCAAGTTCGTGAATTTTTACCATACAATTTAACTTACTTCCTTGGAAAAATGAAGTGATGCCAATTTGTTGAGCTCTGTTAGGCGTGGTTGACATATTTTTGGAGAAGAGCAAAAAATCACGGCTTGGAACCAGACATAGCAGAGGAACGTGTACAGTTCTGGATCAACCAGGGAAGTAAGGCACTAACTTCACATGATGCGGTCGATGGTACTCTCTCTCCCAGCTGTTGTGTGTGTTACTGCAAAATTACATCTTGTAATGTTTGTCGTAAATTCTAAGAATCAATGTATCTTTTATCTCAGAAGTATTGACTTGTGACGAACGATTAGATATTTCTTTCTTTTCAAAAGATTTTTTGATGAAAATTTTTGGTTGGAGGGTTCTTTTCCTTATCTATACCACACATATCTCCTTCTCATTTTCCTCTCTTCATGCATATATTCATTCACCTGTGGGGGGGTGATAGAGAGATCGAATGACGTGTGGAATTCAAACAAGCTGAATAGCCATGTCAGTAGTTCGAAATAATGATAAAGGAATAATTAGACTATAGATGTTGCAAATAAGTATTAACTACAACTGCATCTTTTTGCTTGCATGTTACAGTCGAACGTGGTCTAATGGAGCTTCGGAAGTTAGGAATCGAGACCAAATTGTGGGAAGAATCGCGTAGATTGATTGATCCAGACTCCGAGCGCAAATCGCAACTAGACATTGAATTTTAATAATAATTTAGCAGAGATTTTCTTTGATCATCTCTCACGACTATTTACTTTCCTTAGTCTTCCTGTAAATTCCATTCATTTGTTCATCTATACTTATTCTAAGTTTATGAGTCTATTTTTATATGATGATTGTTTCGAATTTTTGTTCGAAACTTGTAAGAACAGAGATTCTAAATATGTACGTGTATCTGAAGTTGAATGAACATCATTTTTTTTTCCTCCCTTAACTTTGATGTTCTTATCACCAGGAATTACTGAATGGGAATACAATGTTAATTTAGGGGCTTTAGATTTTTGTCAATGGCAATTGTATTTTAAATGAGTGGATTAAATGATGCTTGAAAGGGAACATTTCATATTTATTGTAGTTGCAAAATACAATTTCAAAATTAAGAAATTATGTTATTATTTCAAAAATCAGGTTGTAGTTAAATTCTATTAATTAAATATATTTTATCAATTAAATGTATTAAGGTTACAATTATGTAATTTATGGTCACATTTTCGTACATTTATGTCGCAACTTATTTACCGGTTACATATTATCAAGTTAATTGGTCACAAATAAAAAAATTTTATAGATTACAAATCACAAATTTTATAGGTTACAACTAATTTCACGGTGTCAAATTATCAAATTAATTGCTCACAAGTTATTTATAAATCACAATTATTAAATTTGGTCACAACTTACCATGTTGGGTCGCGATTATACATTTAGCACAAAAATACATTCTTTTAATTTCAACAGCAGCACCAGCACGTCGAGGCTGTTGTTGCAGTAGCCTGGCACTATAGCGAACGACAGCAAGAATGGCGCTGTGCGCGATGCTACTGTGAAATCGGGAGAGATCACTGCCACTAAATCAAAAGAGAGATAGAGAGCAGTGCATAGAGAGAAGACAGAGAAAGAGAACAATGAGGAAAGATTTAGGGTTTAAGAATGAAATTTGATGAGATGAACAGAGGTATGGTGGGTATATAGATTAATTTAATTTTAAAATATTGTTATTAATATTAATATGTAGAATTATCACCTGATTTTTATACAAACAAACTTCATACTCGAGTACTGGAATTGGAACTTAAAAAATCTACCTCCATATAATTTCCACTACTTGAGAATTGTTGTAACATAAATTAAAACTCATTAATTTTTAGTTTTTCCTCTTAATTTTCAGGTTTAATTTCAAAACTAAAACTCATAATTTTATATTGTAATTTATATTTTAATTGGGATAATTCTCATTATTATGGGGGTTAAGTTTGACACTATAAAAGGGAATCAATTTTTATAGTTTGATACAACAACTTGAAATATTATCATTTTTATAATTTTATACTATATTCATACTATTTTGATAACTCGATAAGAGAATCATTCTTTATCTCCCTATGGTCATACCTATAGAAGGAGAATCAACTGTGAATCACATGAGTTTTATTTTGAAATTCTGTAATGTCAAAAGTACCCATACGAAGGGAGGCAATACAAACTTTAGGACAGCGAACTTGACCTGACTCTCTAATGTTTGCATTCTAACCCTCTTCTTGTTGAATTATAATTTTTATATTGCTAATAATATTATTATGTTTATACAATCTTTGAATTATGTTATTTATTTTTATTAGTTGATATGTTTTTCTACACACAAATCACCCAATTGTCCCAACAGTTTAAAGTCGTGTTACTATGATTTGTCCGTAAACAATTCTTGTTGTGATCTTCAAAGTGTAGGAAATATATCTTGTGTATGGGTGCCCAAGTGACTAGAGAAAAAAATGGATTCCCTGTTGCCGTCCTATTCTGTAAGTATTTTTATCAATTTTGAAACATGAAATTTTATTCAAAACTCAAAAATATGGATTTGTTGGCCCAATCAATTTAACTTTGTGCTTAGTGTGACGGTGAAAATGATCCTTTGTTCATTGCTTTCATTAAATGATCTGGAGAAGTAAATCAAGGATTGATCTTGTTTCACCATAATAGAAATAATGATTAGACAAATAGCTATGATGGATTTGCAAATTTCTTTGGTAATTTCTGCATGTATTGATGTATAGTGTATAGTAATGGTATTGTGGCTGATAATGACATTGTTATAATGAGAATTATTTGTGTCCACAAAACAATGATTGGTGTGGACTTGAATTTTGAAATATTTGGTGATCGTAATGTTCAAGTTTTAGTCATTGATCCTAAATAAAGAATTGATTACTATGCAATTCTAAATTTAAAAAATAAAAATATTCAATATGCAAATGGAGTTGTGCAAGTACCACTAGTCTATCCCATTGAGATTTGTTCATGGGTGCTAGTCTCACTAATTGTTAATTACATAAAACCCATATGATTGATATATTTTTTCCGTGTTTCTATCTCTATTGGGGTATTTCAAATTCTATATTAGTAATCCATCTCTTTATGAACCATATGTAGTAGTATTTGGAATTGTGTGGTTATAACATTTTAACCAACGAAATTGCATTATCCCTGGATTTTCATGTTGTGGAAAAATGTTATTATTTTGTGCATAATTTATGCATTTAGGTGTGACTTCATATAATTCTTAAGAAATGCAAACCGGGCAATTTAGATCCCTACAACACCTTTGATAATTTCAAGTGCCTTTGTTGGTTCACAAAATGTTCTAAGTTCGTAAAGATAAAACCAAGTGTAACTTAAAGGGCGGAAGTAGTCTAATTAGATGAGTTAGAAGCATACATTGTGGGACATTAGTCTTGGTGCTTCTTTCATGTTTTCTTCAACCACAATTTCTTTTTCCCTGCCTTCTCTATTGTTTGAATTCTGTTAGTGTACAATCAATTTTTTTTTTAATTGCATCTTTGAAAAAATCCTTGATGCAATCGTCAAGGTGACTAGTAATTAGGGATGAAAATTTTTTGCATCCCACAATCAATTCACTAGCTTATATACTAAATTGGTCTAATGACTTTAATATGGCATTCTTCGAGACTTTCTTGTGGCATTGTCTCTAATTTTTAATGTAGATAGTTATATGGTAGAAGTAAGACAAATTCTTGTCTACATATATAGTGAGGTATTATCATTGTACACTATAACCAAAATTAGTATTTTGTCATGCATGTGAATTGGTTGGGTTATATTATATGGGAATTCTATGATTTTATTTTGGAATAATGGTTGAAAGATTTAATCCTCAATAATGTGCGTAATTGATATTTTAAAAGAGGTTTAAATGTAACTCATGTGAATGATATTGATTTTATTATTATTCAATTTAGATATGTAACTCATATTTGATTATTAGAATAGCATATAATAATACTACCATGTAGTATAATCAATTTGATTTTAAGTTTCAAAAGCTTTATATCTTAATAATTAATATAATTAATCTGCCATTTAATTATTTTAACTTTTATATGAGCCCTAATGATTTTAAGTTATTAAAATGAATGCGGGTGAACAATAAATTTGAGCTACATTTTATATTTGCTAGAATTTCACATGATTGTGTTTAATCGAAACAATATTTCTTTCGCAGAATATTTGATATACTATATTTGAAAATTATAGTTTATGGTCTAATTAAATTTTGACACGATGTTTAGCTAATTTGGGGTACAAAAAATGCAAGTGTTTTGTATCCAAGGGATATTTTATTACTCTGAAGGCATGTTTACTTGGATTAAAATTTTAAACCATATTTGATACTTTAAGGTTATACTAATTCTTATTGTCTAATATTTTGCGATGTATGGGTATCATTATGTTTAATTATGTTGTTTAAGTGGGAGTGTTTAAAATCCTTTGAATGTAGGGGTATTAAAAATTTCGAATATAGGTATTGTATCCACAATTAGTGATAATTATTATGAAATTGACATTTTGAGTAATACAGATTGAATTTGAAGATTGCAGGTAAAGTGAAAGAGCTCAATGGATGTATCTGTCCAACCATGATACTAGAAGTCAATATAAAAATTTCATGAAGTTATATTATTATAATTAAATATGTGATATTAACATTTTTAAAAATGTTCTCAAGTGACTTTGTAGATGTGCAGGAAGAGTTGCAAATCGATGGTACCAATTTATTGTTCAAGAGGAACGTAAATAAATTGTTTGAACAATAAATTGTAGTCCTAGATGGACATACATAAATCATTGAGTAAGAATGGGTTTAAACCCATAAGGCAGTTGCCCTCGGGAATAACCCAATCTTTATGATTGGAGATTCCATGAAAAATGTTCAATGTGGTAGAAATAAATCATGCTGCAAGATTGAACTATTCTCCATCGACTCTTATTAGAATCAAAATTAGAGCGCATAGTCATTAAAAGTGCTACCTGTTATGAACTAGAGCCTAAATCGAAAATAGTGAGTTAGACAATTGAAATTTGACCAAAGGGACCTAATTCAAAGTTTAGTTTATTATGGCTCACTCAAATTAAAGTTGTTATGACTAAGTGAGGTTCAAGTCCAAAAGTTTAAAACTTGCAAGGAATTGCTGTAAAATAAATTAAGTTTCAAACTTTCAAAATTAAAATTTATTAATTTTCAATTTTTCCTTTTAATTTTCAGGTTTAATTTCAAAATTAAAACTCATAATTTCATATTGAAAATAATATTTTAATTTGGATAATTCTCGTAATTGTGGGGGTTTAGTTTGACAATATAAAAGGGAGTCAATTTTTATCATTTGATACAACAACTTGAAGTATTATCATTTCTAATTAAGTTTCAAACTTTCAAAATTAAAATTTATTAATTTTCAATTTTTCCTTTTAATTTTCAGGTTTAATTTCAAAATTAAAACTCATAATTTCATATTGAAAATAATATTTTAATTTGGATAATTCTCGTAATTGTGGGGGTTTAGTTTGACAATATAAAAGGGAGTCAATTTTTATCATTTGATACAACAACTTGAAGTATTATCATTTCAACAATTTTATACTATATTCACACTATTTTGGTAACTCGATGAGAGATTCGTTATTTATCTCTCTGTGGTCGTATCTATAGAAGGAGAATTGACTGTGAGCCACATGAATTTTATTTTTTGGAACCGTAAAGTGTCGAAAGTACTCACATGAAGGGGAGGCAACACGACTTTAGGACAACATCCTCAACGTTATTCCCTAATATTTGCATTTTAACTCTCATCTTATTGTTGGATTATAATGTTAATATTGTTATGTTTATGCAATTATTGAATTTTGTTATTTATATTAATCAGTTGATATATTTATCTACACATAAATCACTCAATTTTCTCAACAAAAATAATGGCTCACATAGTTTTAAACATAATGTTCATTTTTTGTGAATTATCAGAGTATATTATATATAACATGTGTGGTGGATTCTATATGGTCGAATAAGATGATATAAAAATATTTCACTTCTCTTTATTCTTTAATCCCGTCTACTTCAATATTACAAAACAACATAATATGTTTTTATTTGATAAAAGAATAATAAATTATAAAAGACTGCGATAGAAATTCAAATTTGACATATTTTGTAAGAGGGAAATGATAATAATTTCTAACAACATATTCGGCTAGAAGGATTGAATAATAAACAAACAAAAGGAAGAAGAATCTTAAATCTTGTTCTTTATATGGGCACGATGTGCAAAACATGTATCAATAGACATTAAAATCATAAACAAGCTTATTGCCTTCTAAAATTTTGTTAATATGAAAATATTTTCAAGATAACTTGCATATTTATTTCTTTTGTAGTATGAAAATTAATAGAATTTTTAAGCCATAATACATATGGTTGTTTTCCCTCAGAATTTGCCACTAATTTTTCTTTGCTTTCGGAAAAATCTTCTCAGATTTTATATTAAAAATTAATTTTTATTCTTAAATATTTAATTGAGAAATTTAATATGGGATAAAGATGCTTTACAATATCCTAATGACTCTGAAGAAAATCAACTATGTATTCAAATATATATAAAAGTAATACACAAGGAACACGTTTTTATCTTTTCTTTTTTTCGGTGTCAATTAGGTTACTATATTTTAATTTTATTTCAATTTTAGCCAGTTCGTTCAATTCCATTATATATTTAACATTAAACATCAAGATTACTGTTAGATACTAACGATCATCATAAGTTGATAACAAAATGATATGGAAGAAGTAATAAATTCCAAAAACTCATTTTATAGGTTAAACATATGAACTTAAAATAACTCAAATGGTAGAATTTTGGTTGTATCACTTCTTCCATGCCAATTTTTACTGCTTTGTAGGATGATCTTTCGTATTTAATGATCACGTCTGTGCTTGGTATCAAATAATGTGACAAAATTAAACAAAATAACTTAAACTGAGATAAAATTAAAGTAATAGTAATCCAATCAATACGAAATTAAAGTAGATATATTGACCACAAATGGAATTAACACTATTCATATCTTCACCGATGATCACAAACGATGAGGTAAAAGTGAAATAATAATAATAATAATAATGAAGCAAATAGTTTGTCCCAAAATGACAATAATATTGTTGGGGAATCTCACTATACGCATCATAATTGGAGGGTAATTTGCCCCACTTCATAAAAAAGGCCAATCCACGCTCTATTGGCGCTCCCACCCGGTGGTAGATTCTTTCCGGCCCTGCCACTCCACTCTTTGCTTCTTTGCAACGGTTTCTTGATTCTAAAAGCTTCGTTTTTTCTGCGCAAAACTTTCTGTCTATTAAACATATGAATGTGTATAATAGAAACCTAACTGTTCAGGTTGTATATTTTTGCAGGATTTCATCAAGGTTTGATTTTCTTTTGAGGGCTTCACATTTTGTTGAGTAAATTTTTTGGGTTCATCTTATTTTTCTCAAATTTGAAGGTTTTTCATTCATCTTTTTGCATGACGTTTTAATGAGTTTCTGTGGGGGAATTCCAGTAATTCTCGCCCTGGAACAGTGAAAGGCATTCTGCTTTGAAGAAGGGGAATTAGTTATTATTGGGAAAGATTCGATTTTTACCTTGAGAAAAGAAAAAAATATATATTTGAAAATTAGTGGTGTTCTTTGGATATGGGGAATAAATTGGGGATGAAGAGGCAACTGGTGGATGATAAGTACACGAAGCCTCAAGGATTATACCAACTTAAAGATGTGGACCAAAAGAAACTTAGGAAGCTTATTCTTGACTCGAAGCTAGCACCTTGTTACCCTGGTGATGAAGAACGTGGTTGTGACCTTGAGGAATGTCCCATTTGTTTCTTGGTATGATTCTCTATCTTTTTCGTCATTTGTCATTTGTCATTTTTCAATTTTTTTTTTTTTTTAATAGTGTGATTGCATTTTCTTATTGCTTAAAGTGAAATTTGGTTCATAGGATTTCTTGTACATGTCTGTTTATGTATACATCTTTTTGGAGTAATTTTGGTGGTTATTTGATGGATATATGAGAAGTTGGGGAATTGAAATGGAAGTTGGTTTAGCTATATAGTTAATTGAACCATTTTTCGAAAATTTGTTAGCCAATTATGTTGCTAAAGGAGAAACTTGAGTTAAAGTATTTTTTGGAGTCTTTTTTTTTTTTTTTAATAACTAAGAATGACGTTAATTGAATTGTGTTTGTGCACTTTTTGATTGTTCAACAACTGAGGCTTTTATTTGTTCATATACTTTCCTTAGCAGAGCAATATAATTATATTCTTGAGTAATGACAAATTACATTGTTCCGACATGTATAACATCTTTCCTTTTTAATGTAATTTAACCTTCTTTTAATATTTTCTTTTGTGCTTGATGTTATCAGTACTATCCAAGTCTTAATCGGTCAAGATGCTGCGGGAAAGGCATTTGTACTGGTATATCATATATGATTTGCATTTTATTTCCTAAATTTGGTTATCTTTGTAGTCATTGACTTGGTCAATCTTCTTTAATATCAGTCTAATAATTTAGATTATTTCCTTGCATTAGAGTGTTTTTTGCAGATGAGGACCCCTAATTCTACCCGGCCTACACAATATCCTTGATTTCTATTTGTTGGAGTTATGTCTCATGAAACGCTTTCTTCATGTTTTGGTTACCTTAACCTTAGAAGGTGTCCTTTCTGTAAAACGTTAAATTATGCCGTGGAGTATCGAGGTGTTAGGACAAAAGAGGAGAAAAGCCTCGAGCAAATTGTAAGACTGATGTTATCCTAATTCCCTGTTAATTTTTTCTCCTTTTTGTGTGTATGTCAAACAACATTTTAGCTACATCATTGAACTTTGCTCATTTATAGGAAGAACAACGGGTTATAGAAGCCAAAATAAGAATTAGAAAGCAAGAACTTCAGAATGAAGAGGAGAGGATGCTCAGTAGAAGAAGATCAAGTGAAATTGACAATTGTTCAACAACAGGTATATGATATGAGCCTGATTTTGTGGCTATAGGTTCACTTCCTCTGTATTCATGAATTTACTTTTTCTGTCTTTAGAACCATCCGTTGCTTCAGCTGTGCAAGGTGAGGAAGCTGTTACATGTGAGGAGTCTCATGTTTCTTCGGCAGTAACGCCGCCTTCATGTCCAAGGCAAAATAGGTATACAATTATATGCGTTATCATCTTAATATTTTGATGTCTTTTATGTTTCTGAGTTGTCAGTAGAAATTTCAAATGAACTAGGAAGTTACCATGTACAAAGGGGGAAGCTAAGCTAAGGTTGAATGTTCAATTTAATAAGCTTGTTTTCCATCTGCCATTATTTTTAATTCCAGGAAATTTCTAGTACCTGGTCCCTCATAAATTCTCACATGTTAAGCGCATGTATGGTAAACAGTATGACAAAGGACAAGATAAAACAATAAACAAGATCTTTGCTTCTTTTTATTTCTTAATACTATCTAATCCAACTTATCCGTCATGCTATACATGCATACCCATAGTGTATATCCTCTTTACCAACCCACTTTATGGGTTTGCCCTGTTCGTAGTTGTGGATGCTTATATGGTAATGTAGACTATGGAGACTGTTCAGGAACTTTTGATGCTCCTTTAGCATGGTGGCACAGTCCTATTTTACGTTGAATGATTATGGACTTGGGTTATGCTAATCTTTTGACTTCTGAAAGGAATTATTTGTCTATGTTGAAATTTTAAATTACGAAGTAGGTCACTTCAATTTTAGAAATTAGATGATGTTTCCTTCCTTTCATCTCTCTTGACCTCTTTCAAAGACAAACCAAAAAACCCTGGAAATCTTTTCAAGCTAGATTAGCAATTCTTTGTTTTCTCTATATTCTTTCATTAGTCCATAAAAAAAAAAAAAAAAAAAAAAATA